GAGACAACCTCACGGCAGCACTGGATGAGGCAGAGGAGGGCTGGAGCCAGTGCCTGGGATGGGATGGTCCTGCTGAAGGCAGAGTGCTCCAGTCAGCTCCAGGGCAGCCCTGGAACTCCCTTACTCCCACTGTTCTCTCAGAGAAACACATAAGCAAACAGAAATATGTGAGACCACGACATGATTTCCGCCCCATCAGGGATCTCCAAGGGGCATGAAATTATCAGTGAGCATCAGTCCTGCCTGCCCCGGGGCTGAGGTAAGCAGCCAGCACAAGGTGCACTTTAAGGTGTGTGAGTGACAGCAGAGCCACATCTCTCCCCTTCTGCCACGTGAGCAGCATCGTTGTCACCTGGACGAGGGAAGGGGAGGATGGCCGGCACTTGGCTTCTGCCAGAAATTCACTCGCCCTCCTTTTTTCTTTTCTTAATGAGCAGGCTATTAACCCAACAGGGACGTGATGAATAAAGACGTGGGCTGCAGAGTGGCTCCTGCTGCGGCCTTGCTGAGCCCTCCAAGCGCTGGCAGCCCTCGCCAGCCCCCCTCTCCCTGCACAGCCTCCCGCCCTCGTCTCAGGTGCTCAGAGGCGGTTGCTTTATCCATTGCTAATGACATTTATTTTCTTCTCAGAGCCTCGGGGAGGGCTCTTTCTCTCGCCCTCCCTGCTGATGTGAATCCTGCTGCCCTGTTATGCTGATCTGAGATTTCTTTTTTTATTGCTGAACTGCTGGTGATCTCCCCTGCATCCCCCATCTCTGCCCCCCAGCCTGCTCTTCCCACAGCCAGGCACACATTTCCCAGCCTTGATCCAGCCAGCATGGGAGTAAAGAGGAAACCTCTCCCAATTTTCAGGTTGGATCAGGTCTCTGACCTGGTGAGGACGGGCTGAGACTTGCCTTTGGGTTTATGGTAACTTTCCTCTAAAAGGTCCTTCAGAAAAAGGCAATTATCACCGTGCCATTAAAGCTTTCCCCCATTGCACGGCCAGATAACTCGCTGGGAGCCTTTTGAAATAACCTTTAAACAATAGATACTGTCCTGTTTACTGAATGTTTCTGAACTCAACAGTAATGCATCCAGATGTCACCCCTGTCTACTGCAGGCCTAACTATTTCTGGAAACACACCAAAGGCAAATTGCTTGGATAATGTCAGATATTGTTGCAAAAAGAATATGACAAGTTTCCATCTCTTTGATGAAGGCTGTGGAGCAGAGAGATGTTTCCCAGGGCAGCAGGGCTGCGTGCACCTTCGACTCAGCTCCACGTAGGAGCCGCATCCCTCCCTCCTGGCAGCTCATGGGCAGGTTCCAGAGGCACACGCTTTCCAGTTTGGGAAAAAAAAATCGGTGTAGCTGTCAAGCAAAGCTCAGCACGCTCGCAACATCCATGCTGGGTGCTCTGTGACCGCAGGTGGCTTTTGTCCTGGAGGTGGGAGATGGGAGAGAAGCAGCGGAGAAGGTGAGGATGGACTGAGCTGCCCTTGCGGTGTCTCAGCCCGTCTTGTGCCGTTATTGTGAGGGAAGTCAAATGCCAGCTCTGACCCATCACAGACTCAACAAGCAAGAGAAAACTGCCTGAAGTGAGAGGGTAACAAAGCTTCCCAGCCCTCAGTGCATCCCTTATCTCCACTCTCTGCCCTGCCAAGGGGAGCACCCACACACGCTGATGGAAGTGCTGGCACCCAGCAGTGTCCCAGGCTGCAGCTCACAGTGCTGGCCCTGGCTCCAGCGAGAAATCTGTACTCTTGGACAGGTAGAATGGGACAAAATCCTCATCACTGTGAGTTTGGCCTAAATCAAGTCCTGTCCCCCCCGCCCCCAAGTGCTGCCTCTGACACAGGCACCTTGAGAACCACATCACCAGAGGGGCCCCGTCCTCCTGCTGATGCACTGAACTGCTGTTAATGGGTCATGGCTGTTATTAGCCTTTCCAGGGAGAAACAGGTCCAAGGATATTTCAAAATGTTATTATGACCTTTAATTTTGTTCCCCAACCTTTCCAGCTGCCCTCTGCCCAGGGCTGTTCTCGCAGGGCTCACGGGTTCCTAAGGTCCCACCCTTGCCTGGGTTGGCCTTGGCTGGGATCTGAATGCGGCTGAAAGGTCTGAAGAGGGTCAAGAGTCCATCACCCAAACCTATTTGTCATCCCACTGCCAATCCTCAGTGCTGGGGTATATGCTGTTTTCTCAGGCAAAGGGCGAACCAATCCCACCATAATAAATCAGATCCCAAGGCGAGAAGGAGATGACACATAATGACACAGGAGAAAGGGTAAATTAGATGGGGAATGAGTTGCGAGTTCAACCCAAACACTTGCCCTTCAATGTCACAAGTTGCATCACGAGCCGTGGCTGCGGGAGCCCTGCCAGTACGCAGCACCTTTTCCCTGGCCATGTCCTTGTCCATATCCATGACAACACAACAGGCAGGTACCAAAACAGGCCTAGGGAGAATGCACCAAGTTATCCCCGTTTCTTACACCAGCACTAATGCAGCTGGGCACTGCGCAGACACACGAGAAGGTCTGAGTTAGGAAAATCCCCTACAGCTTGGCCAGCTGCAAAACCCCTCAGTGTCCCACATGCTGGGCTTTGAGGACATCCTGACATGCCCAAAGGTCAGTGGCACAGACTTTTTCAGCCTGTGAGGATGCAGCGAAGCTCTCTGGGCTGCACATAAATGCCTGGAGGAATTAAGCATATTTTTGTCTTTGCGTCTGGCACCCAGCAAAACATTTCAAGATCCTAAGGGGGTGTTCAGGTATGGCTGTAGGGTCAGTGAGTGCTCTTCAGCTTCAGATTTGGGAAACCTTTAGAAAGGCTTGGGTTATTTAATCCATGGGCAGCGAGCGGGTCCTTGGCCACTTCTGAACACGTTCTCCTCATATTGCAAAGCCCATGAGACCAAACCTTCAGGCTTGACTCTTGTGTCACCTACGTGAGGGTTTAGGGACTGCTGCTGGCGCAATGGAAAAGGATCAGGAGGAGATGTGACAGACAGAGCTACCAGGCTTTGCTGGAAAACAAAGAGAAACACGGCAAAGATACAGCCAGTAACCACGGCACTGGCGATGTTCTGCAACTCTCCATGCTCAGGTAGGCACAGGTATCCAAGAACTGCCTGTATTTGTAGTCTGTGCTCACTAAGAATAAAACAGAAAGGAGCAAATGCTGTTCCCTTCCCTTCCCCTCACATCCCCACATCCTTTCTAAATGAGAGCCAGTGTACTGAGGGGTGATAAATCAACATCAGTCACTTTGCGGGGGATTTTGTTGAAGTTCTTTATCTCCACCGAGCACCAGCACCATTCCTTAAGAGGTCCTGTCATTGTTTTCCACAGAAATCCTGACTGAACAAGAAGAGGAAGGAGGTTACACTTCTAATTACAGCTGCATGGTCTTTAAGGTGTTTAAAATCTCTTTTTCACCAACTGACAGCCCTGGAGCATCTCTCTGCTCCTTCCAGACAAGATGAAAACCAAGCCACAGAGGCTGCAAACAACCTTCAGTTCTTCACACGCCATTGCAACAGGGCAAGAGCCTAAACACAGGTGTGAGATAGTTCAGGCACTCACTTCAGGCACAATTTATGTAAACTACTTTCCCTTACAGCATTATAATTTAGATGCTTACTCAGTAAAGGCAAGATATGATGACTAAAAAACCCATCATACTGGCTGCTTTTGCTCAAAGAAGTCACCCAGGAGCACCATCTGCACTCTAAAAATTGGGATAACCCACCAAGTTGCCTAAAATGACAAGACATCCGTCATCACAGACTCAAGTACACGATTTTCCCACCTAGGTTTTATGCTGATTTCGCTGCTCATTTCAGGCTGGAAGACAATCTGTTGAACCTCAAAGTACCGTCTTCTCTTACCTTTAATTTATTCTGTCAGAAAACCGTCTACCTTAATGAGGATGAGCACACCCCCACTGCCTTCCAAGTTTGGTGATCTGTTATGTCAAATATAAATAATCCTGTCTGAAACCGGTCGATATGGGGAAATGAAAAGCCATCTTCCCTTGGGGGATTTCTCTCTCCCTCCCACAGCCCCCCCGAGCCCTCAGGCTACCTTTAATGTACCGAGCCATATCCATGTGCCTCTGAGAGCACAGACCTAGATGGCTGCTGTATCCATGAAACAGTGACAAAAACAACCCACAGGTAATTGTGCCATCACCTTTCTCGCAGGCAACTCTGGATCCCTCTCCATCACCACTGCTTTGCTGAGTGTGAGTTAGTGAGCGGGTTTGCCGCCTAACCTGAGGCTGGGGTGGTCTCCTCAAACTCATCGGGATGGAGCAGGGGATTTTGATGTCCTTTGGAGCCAGGACATGAGATAGGAACGAACCCTTGTCCTAGGCACATGGCTCCAGGGGAGATGCCCAAACAGGTTATTTAGAGAGGCCGGTTTCAGTCCCATGCTGAGCGTGCAAAGGGGGATGAAATGGAGGAAAAAGGACATGACCCACACACCCAGGAAAGGCATGGGATGGAGGCAGCTTTCCCACCCCATCCCTGAAAGATGCTTTCACGACCTCCTTCACAGGCATGGCTCTGAAACTGAAGATGCTGTAGGACCAGTGACAACCAAGCCTGGAGCACCTCAGTATTTTTCATGCTGGTCTAAGGTGGCAGGACTTGCCCAGTCCCCCTAAGACAGGTTATGGGGGAGTGGATGCTGTGCAGTTCTCCGTGTCCTACTCGCTCTGTCTCCCCCCTCCAAACCCCTTCCCAGCCCCACTCCTGGCAGCCGGGGCTATCCTCTTCCTGCCGCCCTGCTTGCGGGCATCCCCCCCGGGATGCGGGTTTCGCAGCCGGTTCCCTCGGAGCAGCGATCCCAGGCAGTTCAGGATGCACCGGGAAGCGGGCGGCGGGGGCGGGAGTGAAGCAAATAGGGGGAAAAAAACACTGCGAAAGACCCCAGCGCCGGGAAAGACGGGGAGAAGGGGCCCGGCAGAGCGGGGGGGGGAAAGAGGGGGTCCCGCCGCGCTTACCTTCAAACGGGGGAATGGGGGCTGGATCGCTCAGGTGAGGACCGCGTCTCCCGAAGTCTCCCGCTCGCAGAGCATCAACGCCAAAATAAAGGACTTTAAAAATAAAATAAAATAAATTTAAAAAATAAAAATAAAGGGAAGAAAGCGGTCAGGGGAGCAGTGCGCGGAGCAGGCAGCCGGCAGCAAGCGGCAGCAGCAGCAGCAGCAGCAGTAGCCACCCTCTCGGCACATGGCCGGGCCGGCGGCGGCGGCTCTGCGGGGGACGCTCCCGCCTCCCCGCCCCGCGCCCCAGCGCCGCCGGGACCGCCAATGACGGCGGCGGGAGCGGAGCGGGGCCGAGCGGGGCCGGGCCGAGCCGTGCCGAGCCGAGCGGGGCCGGGCCGAGCCGAGCGGCGCCCCCCCGAGCCCCGCACCGGGGCCGCACGGGCAGCGCCGCGTGCTGCCGCCCCCCGCACCCGCGCCCCGGGATGCGGAGGGAGGGAGAAGGCGGACGCAGCCGGGTCCCGACATCCCCCCTCCATCCCCTGCTCTGGGATGCGGGTCTGTGCGGGACAGGGGGGAGAGCGGGGACAGCCCCTGGGAGATGGGTCGCTCCCCGCCGAGCTGGGGCATCCCCATATATAGACGCGGGTCATCCCTTTACGGAGCCGGACCACCACTCAACCCCCACACCATCCTGTAGCCGGATCTCCTCCTGACAGAGCCGCGTCACCCATCACAGAGCCGGGGGATACTGGTTTGGCCAAGGGAGCCTCCATCCCCAGTGCTGGCGCAGGAAGAGAATCCCCTTCCCCATCCCCGGTGCAGGGAAAGAATCCCTCTCCCCATCCCCAGTGCAGGGATAAAGAGGAGAAAGCCAAGGCAAAGCCTGCAGAACCCCCCGTTTAGCCCCGAAAGGGTCCCAGGGCATTTTACAGGTGCCATGACTTTGTTCCCTGCTCTGTTTATCGGGAGCTGTGCTGGGGTTTTGGATATTTGGTTTCATTAACAGACACCCCTGGAGAGGGACTGTCTCTCCTCTTCCCAAATCCGTGCCCATTCCAGCACAACCTCAGCTTAGAGTCCTCATCCGCAGCTTTCCTCCAAAGGCGCTGATGCCGTGCGGGGCGTGTTCAGCAGCGGTGATTCACAAGGCTTCTTAAGTGCCTTAAGAGCAGTGATTCGCAAAATTTCCTTAGTCTTGGGGTTGTGAAGACCTCCCAGACCTGAAAAAAAAAAAAAACCAGAACTTGGGACAAAACCTGAATCGGAGCCGGCATTGCCCCAACTCCCACAGTGTGTTCTGCAGCCACCGGTCCCCAGAGTCCCAGCAGAGCTCTCCCGGGCATGAAGGATGCTCAGCATGTCTCAGAAGGCCCTGCCAGCCCTGCCTCATTGCCCCCCACCCTGTCAGCAGTCTCAGCTGCCATCCATTACCCACGTTGTCTGCAAGATGTCAAACTCCTTGGGCACAGGGGCCCTTCTGCAGGCCACTGCCTCTCCCAGCCTCCTGGAGATGATGCTGGGAAGACAAGCACATCCAGCCCAATTTCCCTCTGTCCATCAGGACATACGCCTTGTGTTCTGCAGCGTTCACGTCCCTGGCCTGACTTCCTTTGGCATTCCCAAACTTATTCCCAAGAACGAACCTGATTTTTTCCTTCGGCAGTTTTTCAGCCTGTCGATACTGGCTCTGTCCTTCTTGACTGATGAGAATAATCAGTGCTTTTATAGCACATCTGCTCTTTTTGAGATGGTATCACTTACAGCACTCCTTTAATCCACAGAGAGGGAAACAGTCACATTTAATTAATTGCTCAACAAATAAACTAATTACCACCAGCAATTTCAGCACACTTTGCAACGCGGTTCAAACGCCTGTGCAGAGATGTGAGAGGCAAACCACTCACTTTGATGACAGGAAATCAAAGTGAGGGGGCAAAATTTAGTTTATCTTTAGAGAATCTACTTAAGACTATTATTGTTTAATTGTTATATGTTGAATCACTTAGTACTGAACTGTCTAAGTCGTGATTGCTGTTCAGTTTTTCTTCAAGGTTGCCTGAACCACGTGCAAAAGATATTTAAAAGCTGTGCCAGGAATAAAAAAAACCAAACAATTTTAGCTTTTTATTACTTGTACAGGTCAAATGCCATTGTCTGGCAATTTATCATTGTATCCTTGCTCAGAAATATGAATGATGGAGGTTTTTTGCTCGGGCCATTCATTCTGGTTTCTATGCCTGCACTCCTGTACCACAATAAACATCCTCCTTGCTTCCCAGGGAGATGTCAAAGCAATTCTCACTGAGCTGAGCCCAGGATAGAAGCAAAGAAAAACAATGTTATAACAAGGACTTAGCAAATGCTTTGGGCTGCCTTGTGCGAGTACAGAGCTTGTTTTCTGGGCTCTAAGACGAGGTTTGCTTACCATAAGAGCAATTCTGTGAAGATCAGTTACCTATGAAGGAGAAAAAGGTTTTTATAATATATTTCCATACTGCAGTGGTGTCCAAGACCTCCATCATGAGCACGATCTGGTCGTGTCAGGGGCTGTACAAACACAGAGTGCAAAGAGCCCTGATTCCCATGACTTTGCAACATAAATTTTTACAGAAGGAAAGTGCTAATTAGCATCCACAGTTTGAGAGCCAGTTGATAGCCTCGAGAGCTGGCAGCTGGCCAGCCACAACTTTCATCAACCCCAACATTTGGGAAGTGTCCTGCGCCTGCCAAGTCTGTGGGATAAACAGACCAGCAGCAGCCAGAAGCCAAATCCTTTTTAAATCTTAAGTACAGTGTTCAGGTTATGGCCACCTGCTTCCCTCCACCACCACCACCAGTGGGTTATTTTCAGTGTAAATCCTTCATTGAGTTCGTGTATTCACATTCCTGCAACAAAAAAGTCTTGGATTCCTCACACTTGACTCAGGACTCGGGAGCAAACTGCCCAGGAATATTGTATGATATTCTCATCATTCAGCATCCAAAGCCACTCCCTCGGTTTCTTTCCCACCTCCAGCTTGCTCCATCCCCAGGAAGCGATTCCCACCTGGTTGTCATGACTCTGGAGGCATCTTCTGTCTGAGACTGATAAGTGACCAAAAACCACAACCAAACCTGGACACTGCTGGGAGCAAGTGGCTGCTGAAACACTGCCCAGCTCCCTGTGTGTATTCCCAGTGTTTCACTGTCCTGGGGGACAGTGGTGGCATTTCCAGACTGAAAACTCTTTCAGCAACTGCATTTTGGTGGATGTGACACACACTAAGTGTGTGGTCTCCCAGGGATGCAATAAAATAAACACACGCCTGAAACAGGGTAGCAAAGGGCACTTGAACATCATTAAAGGATCCCACTGCTTGTGCAGCCAGAGATTGTATCTCCCACAAACACCTTCCCCTTCCAGCTTATTGAGGCTGTCAAGGGGTTTGTAGGGCAAGCCCTCCCTGTGCAGAAGCCATGCTGAGTTTTCTGAAGGAAATCTCACTAATCCACAATTTCTGCTCTTTTTTAGACCTTCTGCTAACTTGTCCATTACAAACCTCAAGCACACAGGGCCTGCAGCCTTTGCCATTCGATGAACCAGCCCTTTTGCTAAGCTGATAAAGCTGCATCTTCAAACTCCTCAGGCTCTTTTGGCCCCATGTTCTCTCCTGGATCAGCTCTCCTTGAAGCTGATCCGGCTTGCTGTGCAATCTTCAGGAAGCAGCTTAGTGCCAGAAAGCAACGGCTTGAGGAAGAGCAAGAAGAAAGGTTGGCATCAAAGAGCAGAGCCCCATGCAGGAGGGCTCAGCATCAACCCACCCCCCCTGGAAATTCATGTGGCAGACAGCCCTGGACCAGTGCCCACAGCAGATTCCAGCTCCTCTTGCTGTTATTTGCTTCCAAGCCAAAGAAGAACTCTTCCCCGCCATTCTGGAGATGGGAGAGGACACTTCATGAGAATTAAGATGGTCCTGGAAGGTCAGGGGTGGCAGGTGATGGAAGAGGGCAGAGCAGGATGTCCTGTGTCTGAAGAGCAAAAACTGGGTTTGGTGTGTTTTTAAATGATAAAGCAGATCTTTCCTTACCGAATTTGGTATTCTCCACCACATGCCAGATGATGAAGCATGGAAATATGTCATCTTGGATGCACAGGGAGAACAACAGGACAGAAAACAAGTGGATGGATGGATGGATGGATGGATGGATGGATGGATGGATGGATGAATGGATGGATGGATGGATGGATGGATGGATGGATGGATGGATGGATGGATGGATGTGCCATGGTGAAGGGCACCTGGAAGACCAGGAATGAGCTGAGACAACCGTGGGCTGGGAGTGTCACCCCCAGGTGAGAATGGAAGGTGGTAGAAGGAAGGCACTGAGGTAGCACCTGCTGGATGAAGAGCCATCTCCATGGTAGGACTGGAGCAAGTTTCTCATGCCTCCCCTGAAGAACAAGGCTAGAGCAGAGTTGATCCTGCTTGGAGCATCTTTTGCAGGGATACGTGAATCTGTGTTACAATGCGTGGAGATGGTTATTGCAAAGCCACTTTATTTATGGTGTTTTTATTGGCAGGGGAGTGGGAGTGCAATACAATTTTAGCCACTCTGATGTCTCCATGTCCCTTGCAGCCCACCTCCATTCTAGAGCAGATTTTTCTTCACATTACATGATTCCTCAAACTGTACAGAGGGCTTTCTGCACCTGAAATGGTACAAAATTAGGATGGTCTTGCAGAGCAGGGTGAGGTGTGGGCAGCTCTGGAAGTACTGATGGCTCTATGTCTCCACCACCATCACCAGTCCTGGTCCCCACCAGCTGCAGGAAGCAGGATCTCTTTGCATACGGCAGGAATAGCATAGGACCAGGATTTGTGTGAGATTCAGCCACTTGAACTTGAACCTGAAGAACTGTTGCAGTAGTTCTGGATGCACATCACACTGTGAGCTGCAGGAGTCCAGATCTCAGGTGTGAGCAGGGGCAATAACAGCCCAGACAGCAGCATCTTTTTTTGATCATTTTGGAAAAGCCACGTTGAAGACTGAAGTGAATCTCCAGAGCTCCCAAGTCGGAGACCACCACTCGGTTATGCTCCACTTCTCCAAGCTCACACAAGTCTCTTCCACCTCCCACTGTCACTGTCCCCTGGATCACACCAACCCTTTATAAACACACCCAGAGAACGCTTTTGTCTCTTCCTGTCCTTTTCAGATATTTTGGGTATTTGTGGCAATCTCTCCTGTTTATATAACAAAGCCACAGCCCAGTGTTTGTGACACCATATCCATGGAAACCCTAATATAGCATGCACAGGCGACTAGATCTCATTAGGTGGCTCAGCTGCGGCAGCACTGGGGAGGGAGTTTCTCTGGGCTGCTCTGGTAAGAAGGGGCCTGGCTGCACACTAAGCCTTGAGCCCCTGGTGAGACAGCACCTCCCAAAGAAAAATGATGTTCTCCTATTGCTAATTCTGGCCTTTCTCTTGCTGTCCCACCACCAGCTCACCATGGCACAGCCCTGCCACCCACCTTTGGCTCTGCAGCAGGTCTGGACCAGGAAGAGAGGCAGAAGTGATGGAGATGCTCAGTCATGGCAGTCCTTGCCAGAGCAGGAGCAGCAGGATCGAGCTGTGAAGAGCAGCTGAGGTCCAGTTCTGTGTCTGATTCAAGTGCCAGTGGGGAGGTCCAACTGCATGGTTGGGCTAGGTCCCCTTTGGATGTGGTCCTCGTTGAGGATGAGGCAGAGGTTTTCTTACAAGGCATAAGCAAAAAGAAAATTTTGTCCTGAGGAAGGCAAAACAGGTTAGGAGAAAGCAAGAAGTTGGAACAAGCAGAGGCTTAACAAGTGGGATGTTACAGCTTTTGTTGTTCTTGTGCTGTAAGGCACAAACTCTCATGTAAAGAGGAGGAAATGGCTCTTCCCTCCCACTGCTGCTGGATCACAGTCTGCTCCAAGTGTCCTGTCCTGACTGTCACCGGCACATCTGTGGGTTAAACAGCAACTGCTGCTGCCACATGTGGAGGTTCCTGTGCAAAAACATGCAGCTCACTGTGGCCCAGCAAGACCCAGGTGACACAGAGACATTAAAACCACTTTAGAGAGCACAGCCACTCACCTGTGTCTCTGTTGGGCAACTGAACTCAGATTTGTGTCCCCACCACCTTCTTAGTGCATGACGAAGACAACAGTCAGTGGGCAGATCCCTGATCCTTCTGATTTGTTATGGGAAGAGGACTGAGCAAAGTGATCCCTTGAAAAGGATGATGAACAGTTCTCCCAGTTTTGGGATGTAAATGGAACATCTCATGTGGGCCATGGGCCTGGTCCCAACTCCATGGCTCTGGAATAAAGGGTGAGAGGTGGATCTGGCCAGAGAAATTGCAATACAACACCGATCAGGGCAGGGGGCCCTGGGACCCTGCCTGGTTGCCCATCCCCGTGAGCATCTTCCCTACTTGCCAGCTCCCTCTTCTCCCTTCTCACACCACGTTGGGTCCAGCCTGAGTCAGACACTGCCAAACCTCATCAGCACCGAGGCAAATTCGATCCCGGTCTGGCTGGCTGTGGGTGGGGGCTGTGGATGGCAGAGCCCCGGGGCATGGAGAGCTGCACTGGCCGCGTGGGAGCAGACAGCAAAGCTTCCCTTCCCTCCCTGCCCTTGCCCAAATTGAATTTCCATTTGTGTTAGCGAGGCAATGGATTATAGCTCCGAGGGGTGCTGCCTTGCTTCGGTCCCTAATTTGGCGCATCAATTGTGTTTAAACCTACTTACCTGTGAGGCAGCCTTTGTTCCAGGCAGGCAGCCCTCACTCCTGCCGACGGAGGCAGCTGCTTCCCCAGTTCCCTGCCATGAATGTCAGGCACTGCTGCTGCCAGGGCTCTGGAACCCACAGCTTATCTCCGGCTTTGCGTCCAGGGTCATTAGTGGCAGTGAAAGGAGGGTTTGGATGTGTGGCTCCGCAGAGGGACAGGGTCAGCAACACCTAGTGGGGAATTAAAGCTGCTGCTAGGGTTCATTCAGCATCCAGCCAGGGCCTGAGGGACTCAGCTGAGCACTGTCCATCAAAACCAGCCCTTCTGCGGGATTCACAGCACACTCCAGGTATTCCCTGGGTGTTACTGCACTCTTGGATCTTTTCTGCCAGGGGGTTTGGCAGGGTCTCTGCCTGGGGAGGGACGTGGGGTGTGCAGAGGGACACCTGAGTCTCGTCTCCAGCACAGGATGCTCCTGTGTTAGCACCAGCACAATTGTGATGGCACTGGCTCTGTCAAGAGCTCACAGGTGGGCAGAAAGCTGCTGCTGCTCTGCCTTCAAGAAAAGGGGCTGAACACCTTCCCCCCCCAGCACTGGGCCCATGGGAAGCTGCTCCATGTCAGCTCTGAGTGGTCAGAGATCCAGAAACAGGAAAGGAAAGTGGCATTTCTACATCTCATTGAAATCCTAAAATAAACACCTGAAGCAATGAATGGAAAGCTGGATCCTTGCTCCTCACCTGGATTTATGAGCCACGACGAGGGAGAAACTGAAGGGGAGAGAGGGAGATATATATTTTATTTTTTTTTCCCTCTTCAAATAAATTCTCACTGCTTATCTGCAAAGTTCAGCTGTTTTCAAGCTGACCTGCCCGTGTTATGCTGTGCCACTGCAAATTCCTTCTCTACAGGAAAGCTCAGGAGCTCCACTTGCACACGCCAGCAACCTGGGGTTTCATCTCTAATAGAGGGAGGCAGAACTCGTTAGCTGAGGACCCCCTCCTGCCCCCCAGTGAGGATCACTTGCCTTCCTGCCGTGCTGGCAGCTCAGCTTCTTCTCTTTACAATGAGGGAACAAAGCCAAGAGAGGTGGAGAAGTGGGTGAATCTGCTTGGAGGAGGTCAGGGATGGGGAAGGACAGAAATCTGTTCTCAGGAGCTTTCGTAACGCAGCCAGATGTCTGCCCAAGCACCAGGGTTGGAGGATGAAGGACATCCATCTGACGCCTTCAGTGCATCCAGGAATGAGCCCAGGAGCCTCAGGCAAAAGTGG